CAATCTGACCAAAGCGTCCTGAAGAACTGGGTGGCTATAAACCCCTCTGGGACCTGAGCTGGGCCCACCGGAGCTACTGGAGCTGGAACCTCCTCGTCAAAATCAATCTGAGGCTCCGCCTCTGGGGCTGCTGCTCGGGGCTGAGCTCTGCCCCTGCCTCGGCCTCTAGCACGGCCTCGACCTCGCCCTCTGCCCCTCGTAGGAGCTGCAGCTGGGGCTCGGACTGCTGCGCGGTAGAAGAGGAAGCACGTGTTCTCTCCATCTGCGAACGAACAGAGTAGAGAGACAATCAGTATTTGAGAAACAGAATCGCACGACAAGAAAGAACAAAAGTGAAATTTTCCTAACTCTGTAGCTTCTGGGGGTTAAATACAGACGTCTTCGTACCGATCCCTAAGACTCTACCGAGTTTGTCCGTGAGTTGTGAGACCTATGTAACCTAGTGCTCTGATACCAACTTGTCACGACCCGGATTTCCCACCCTCGGGAGTCGTGATGACGCCTACTATTAGGAGCTAGGCAAGCCAATTATTAATTACCTCTTTTAGCAAGCATCAACAATATAAATAAAACCAAGCGTTTAATAATATAAGCGGAAGTCTCAAATGTAAATAACTGAAAGAAATGCGGAAATTCCAACATAAAACTCTACCCAAGATTGGTGTCACCATACTCACGAACTTCTAAGATTTACTAAATACAATAGACTAAAAGAAGTCATAATCTGTTTGTTTCGGTACAAGGGATAACAAACTAAAATAGAGATAGAGGAGACTCCGGGCCTGCGGACGTCAGCAAGGCTACCTCGGTGTCTCTGGACTGAAGGTCTACTCCCAATCTACTGCTGTTGTCCAAAAGCTGCTCCGGCACCGTGATCTGTGCAAACAGATGCACAGAGTGCAGCATCAGCACAACCGACCCCATGTGCTGGTAAGTGCCTGGCCTAACCACGGCGAAGTAGTGACGAGGCTAGACCGGACTACCAAACAAACCTGTGCAGTTCAATATATATGTATGCAATACAAAGGTATACAGAAATCAACCAGTCAAGAGGGAGGGGAGCATACTGTAGGGGCTGTAACAGTTCAGGTATAAAATCAATAAATAAGGAATGAAACAGTACAACTACAATATCAACGAGAGTAGAAAATCAACAGTTGCACGGCACCATCCTTCGTGTTTTTACTCTCGTTCTCACCAAAACAATCATATAAAGTGCACGGCATCACCCTTCGTGCTTTACCTCACAAAATGATGGCACGGAATGATCCTTCGTGCATAACACTCACATCATGGCACGAGATGTCCCTTCGTGCATTAGTAATCATATCATGGCACGGAATGTTCCTTCGTGCATTAGTATTAATGTCATGGCACGGAATGTTCCTTCGTGCATTAGTTTTCATATCACAATCGTGCACGACATCAACCTTCGTGCTTTATCACTCGTCCTCACCCAAACAACAATCACAAACAATGGGGCGAGGGAATAGACAAACAGAATAGGAATCCCGGCAAGGGAACAATAACAATAATTTCAATATCCCGGCAAGGGAGAAAAGTCTACCAAACAGCAAAACATCCCGGCAAGGGAATAACCAATAACTCATTAGCTTTCTTTCATTTCTTACTTCACATCTCACTTTATCACTTGAGCCAATGCTCCCAAGATTTTACAATTCATAATTTCCTTCTCATACTCTTTCATCGCATAGGAATCATCAACTAAGCATGGAAAAGCACAACAAGATAAGAATAAACACAACATAAGGACTCACGATCATGATAGACACCAGTGTATAGATACTCGTCACCATGCCCATACACCGTACTCGACAATTAGCGAGTAGCAAACAAGACTCAACTCCTATTCCCTCAAGCTAAGGTTAAACCAAACACTTACCTCAACTTCCACAGCTAAATCAATCCACAACGACCGCCTTCCCTCTCGAATTCGGCTCCAACTCAATCAAATCTATGAAATAACAACATTACAACATTAATATAAGCTAAACAAATCAAACCCAATGCCTAAATATAATTTTCTAAGCTTTCTTCCCAAAATTCCAAAAATCGACCCCGGGCCCGCTTGGTCAAAACCCGAGGTTCGAACCAATTTCATATCACCCATTCCCCCACGAGCCCAAATATACAATTTGTTTTCAAATTCGACCCCAAAACGAGGTCTAAATCAAGAAAAATTGAAAAGCCCTAACTCTACCCACTTTCCCCCAATTTCAACCCTAGATTACATGATTTAAGCCTTGGAGTTTGATTAATAATGATGGAAAATGAAGAAAACAAGTTGGAATTTACTAACCCAAGTGGTCTTGAAGAAAGGAGGCTTCAATGGACGTCTAAGTGCTCGGAGAAGAAAGGAGTTCGTGTATTTTTGAAGGAATCCCGTAGCTACTGTTTCTGAAAATTAACATTTAACTGGGCAAAATTTGCCCTTCGCGTTCGCGGGAAGGGGGTCGCATTCGCGAAGGGTTGACCTAAATGAACATCGCGTTCGTGATTGGGGAGGACGCGAACGCGAAGAGAAAAAGGCTGGGGTTCAGGATTTTGTTCTATGCGAACGCGTGAAGGCCCACGCGAACGCGATGAAGAAGGCTCATGGCCACGCGTTCGCGAACCTGTGACTGCGAACGCGAAGAGGAAATTACTGGGGTCTCAAATTTGGCTCACGCAAACGCGAGATGCTGTACGCGAACGCGATGAAGGAAATTCTGATGCTTCGCGAATGCGGGAGAGAGAATGCGATCGCGAAGAAGGAAATGACTGGGCACCTGTTGCAGACTTTTCTGCAACTTTTCTAAGTTCTAGAACCTCCCGGAACACCACCGAAACACTCCCGAGCCCTCGGGGCTCCTAACCAAATATACACACAACCTCAAAAATATCCTACGGACTTATCCGTGCGATCAAATCGCCAAAATAACATCATATACATCAAATTAAGCCTCAAAACTCATGTTTTTCTTTGAAATTTTCATAAAGCATCAAATTTTTCGTTTTAAGTCCGAAACACGTCAAACGACGTCCAACTTCAACCAAATTTTACAGAAAGCGCTTAAACCATATATAAGACTTGTACTGGGCTTCGGAACCAAAATACGAGCCCGATACCACAGTCTTCTAATCAAATTTCGTTTCTAATTTCCTTAATAATTTCAGAAAATAATTTCACAGAAAAATTCATTACTCGAGCTCTAGACCTCGGAATTCGACTCCGGCATATGCCCGAGTCCCATATTTTTCTACGGATCCTCCGGGACCGTCAAATCACGGGTCCGGGTTCGTTTACCCAAAATATTGACCGAAGTCAAATATATTCATATTAATATCAAAATTAAGCGTTTTTCACACAGAATTCATATTTAAGCTTTCTGGCTACGCGCTCGGACTGCGCACGCGAATCGAGGGAACCTTAAATGAGGTTTTCAAGGCCTCGAAAGCACGGTATGAATGAGAAAACAGGTGATGACCCTTTGGGTCGTCACAGAAGATTTAAAGATTGAAGATGAATAAATGAAGATGTGAAGAACAGTTTGTGAAGATTTGAGGGAATGATGAACAAGTAAAACATTCGAGAGTAACCCAAGAAGATTCGAAATCGGAAAGTAAAAAAGTGAAAAAAAGAAAATCGAAGCTTTTATAGGAGTGAAATAATTAATGCGTGACATTTCGCATTCGATGCCCACCGAGGATGGTCAAACGACGGCTGACACGTGTCTGAAGTCAGAACGACGCAACTGATGGGACATTTTGTAGACTCATCGACCCGCTTGTAGTGTACAAAGGAAGGAACTGGGGTCAGTTAATCACCTCTCATCATTTTTATAAGCCTGTTCTCTGAAAAGCAAGGGGACTATCTATGTGCGGGTAAAATCGGGGATAAAGTTACCCCCTATTTTTTAGTAAAGAAACGAGAGGACAACGCGACCCGATATTGCCTCGGGCAAAGCCGAGGGCTTCCACATATCAGAAGCCCGGGAGGACGAATGGTGCGCCAAAGCCGGACACGACCAATGATTGAGCTTAAACAAAGTAAAGAACCGAGGCTAAGGGAAAGACGGTTAGACAGGACAAATAAGGGGTCGAAATATCCGTCCTTAACCGGATATTACGGCGCAAATCTCGCCCGATATCAACTGCGTATCAATGTTTACTGGAAGAAAAAGATTTTTACCTTACTTAGACTTGTACTACGATTGAAACTCCCTACTATATAAAGAGAAATTTTTTTATTTTATTTTGAGGACCACTGTTGGCGCGCATAAACAAAGCAATAAAGTTAATTTTTTTTCTCTAGCTATTGTTCAAGTGTTCTTCAGCTACTTGTTTATTGAGTTGCAATCGAGCCCGTTCCGATGGCGGGATCGGAACCAAGTTCCAGTATCTATCATAAAGCTAGACTTAATCATCCATCGCATTTGGTTTGATCATTTTGTTTTCCTTTAATTCTACTATTTACTGTTCTTAGATCATTTGTATTAAATTAAATCGCATATCCTTTAAACCGCGTATAAATTCAATTATTACACATTTTAAGGGTAAACAATACTCTTGTAATTAATTTATCTATTGGACAGGTCATACTACTATAGGTTATCAATCTGGGCATGTTACAAAAAAATTTATAATTAGTTAATCCTATGTGATTGAGTAGTTTAAATTTGTTAATATTCTCAGTAAGTTAAACTCTAGATGATATTTTCTCGAGTTTGTCGTACTAGCGTGGATGCGGACTGGATGAGTAGGTAAAAAAGAAAATAAAAGATAGATGGTTGAATTGCATTAAAGTAGAGTAGACTTGGTGTTGAAGTTAATTAAGTCAATTATGGCGTTTGGATTTTAGCGTATATAGATGTAAGAGAGTAAAGATGAATACGGTGTTGATTGGATGGAATAGACAACGCATGCAAGTACGTGTCAGTATTCATGCACAAGTTCTCCCAAGTGTCCACTTAAATCCATTTTTATCTATCTGGAACCCACCTATAACCCCCTCGACAATATCGATCGTTCTCGTCTTTCTCTGATCTCTTCATCTTTATCTTTTCTTCTCAAGTAAACAAGAATTAAGTAGACGGATAGTGGTCCAAATAAGAAGAAATTAAGGTGAAGTTGTTTAGTTAGATAATGCAGCCACCGCGCAGATATGGCTTTGGGAGGGTGGATGAGGCCACGCACCCTGATTCCATGCGAGCCACCTTGTCCGAGTTCCTCTCTACCTTCATCTTCGTCTTTGCAGGGGAAGGCTCTGCTCTTGCTCTTGGTAAATACTAAATAACTACACCAATTCTGCATCTTTCAGTCCCACCTCGTTATATTTGAGTTTTGTGCACTAACAATTGTATATACTCCATTTGTTTCAATTCCGAGGTAGTTTAACTCGGTCGAAGTTTAAGAAAAAAGAATAAGACTTATGAAATAAGGTTTGTGGGGTTACGATACTTTTATGGTTATAAAAGCTTCTCGTTAAGAGTAAAATGGGTAAAATGGGTGAACTGAAAAGTTTAAAGTTAGAATTATTTTTAAATTTAAAAATGTGTTATTTATTTTGGAACACTACCTCATGTAGTATTTTTTACACAAAATTGACTTAATAAAAATGGCTTATAATAATAAATACTTTACTAACCATATATATATATATATATATATGGTTACCTTAATTATTAGAGAAAGAACATGCTAATTAGTCAAATTTTATTGATGTTGTAAATTTTTGTTCACATGTATATAACTTAAATCCGTTGTAACATTGATCTCCTAGTAAAATTGCATTTGAAATCATTTACTGCTCTGCTGGATCATGCATGCATGCAAAAAAGCTATAACTCTGAATGTGAGTGTTTATGCAGATAAGTTGTATCCCGACACAGCTTTAGGAGCATCAAGATTGACGGCCATCGCACTGGCACATGCACTGTCACTCTTTGCAGCAGTAGCGTCGAGCATGAACGTCTCGGGCGGACATATTAACCCGGCTGTCACTTTTGGTGCCCTCGTGGGTGGCAGGGTTAGCGTTCTTCGTGCCGTCTACTATTGGGTTGCTCAGCTTCTTGGTGCTGTTGTAGCCTCTGCCTTGTTGAGGCTTGCTACTGACGGCTTGGTAAGACAGATCTAGCCCCTTTACATGTATTTAATAAATATTATTTTTGGAAAATATTTTCCACTCTCCAACACAGGAGAATCAGTCATGTCTCCATAACTGAATATATGTTTGAATAATTAACCTAAATAGTCCGCTCACCTAACTGCTTAAATTAAAAATAGATATCGGGCATCTTAGTGTGCATTGAAGTGAGGGAGGAATCCTCTTATTTGCTTCTTGACCAGAAGCAGCTAGCTACTTTCTTCGGTCCACAAATAGCTACTTTCTTCGGTTCACAATAAGTGATCAATTTCTTTTTTTTTTTATTTTGGTCCAAAATAAGTGTCCATTTATATAATTAAGAAAAAATTCAATTTGTTTTTCCAAAATTACCCTTATGTATGTATCCCTAAAAAGTCATTTACTCCTCACATTCGAGAAGAGAAGTAAGTACTACTATAACTATGATTGAACATTTAATGAAGGTTAGTTTAGTCACACTAACTATTTTCGTCTAGAATTTATTATTTCCTTAATGGGTGTGCCAAGAGCAAATTGGTCACTAATTGTGGACCGGAGGAAGTAACTCATTATACAATTACTCTTCAACCCCAATTTGTGTCACTTTTCGTTTTATGTGAATTTTGACCAACATTTACAAAAATATTTTTCATCATATATATAGAATTGTAAGCAACTTATAATATATAGTTTTTGAATATAATATTGAGTTTATCTGATTCAATTTAGCTTCGCAAATTGACTCTAGAAGTATTATTTTTCTTCTTTGAGTTTACAAATACAAATTTCTTGTGGGTTCAGAGGCCAGTGGGATTTGGAGTAGCAGCAGGAGTAGGCAACTTGAACGCACTTGTGATGGAAATAGTAATGACATTTGGGCTGGTATACACAGTATATGCAACTGCCATTGATCCAAAGAGGGGAAGTTTGGGCATCATTGCACCCCTTGCTATTGCTTTCATAGTTGGGGCTAATATCTTTGTTGGTGGGCCTTTTGAAGGAGCATCAATGAATCCTGCAAGGGCATTTGGGCCTGCTCTTGTGGGCTGGAGGTGGAGGAACCATTGGATCTACTGGTTGGGCCCATTTATAGGTGCAGCAATTGCTGGACTTATATATGAGTTTGGGCTTATACAATCTGAAATAGCTCCAATCCACACTCACCATCAACCCTTGGCTCCAGAAGATTACTAAATAGCACATTCAAGATTTGTGCTAAGACTCCTAGACTCGTTTCGTGAAGTTTGTCTGTGTTTTAATGTTGTAGTAGCGTGGAGAGTTTGTTTAATAGTTACATTTTGTAAGCCTCTAAATAATGGAGTAGCAATAATTTATGTGTTGTCCTTAGTGTTCCTTTTTTTCGTCGTTTGTCTATATTGCTCAGACACCAGACTTATATATATGGGCTCTTACAAAATCTGAAAAAGCAAAGTCCTAGTCTTGGTTAAATACATGAATAAAATGAGTTTCCAAATGCTATGTAGGTATTGGGTTCATCTGAATTCAAGATTGAATATTTTTGACGATAACTATTCAGTTATGCATAAATTTTTATTAAAATTGTAGTAAATAGTAGATAAGAATATGTAATCTTAAAAACATAATGGATATTTGTGCATAAGTATTTATTAGAATTTTAATAATTAGTAGATATAAATCTGTAATTTTTAAAAATATAATGGATGGAACGATAAGAATTTCAATGTACAGAGATCACTTCTAGAAATTATAGTGATCACTTAAAATTTCCATCAAGATTCATGGTGCAAACTAAAGGACGGTTGTTCGATTGGTGCATGAAGAATGCAGATCTTTTTACTCGATTGACCCAGAAGAATGGGTTCTTCGTATGCAGTTGGTCCAGAAAAAAGATGCAATCAAGCAGGCAGAATTATGCGTTGCGTGTGTACCCCATATCAAAAAGTATAATATAAAAATTATGATAAAATTATGAAACTGTATATATCTAACGTGCAATTGTTAAATATCATTTTCAAGTATTTCTAACATTTGATGTTGAGTTAAAGAATATCATATTAGTGAATGATAATTTAGTATTTAAGAATGTGTTTTTATATTTTGGTACATAAATTTTGTAGAAGATATATTTTACTAAAAGGTAATGGATATACTATTGGATACCTAGAGAATCAAACATAATTTTTCACAAAATTTTTTTATTTTATTTTTACTTTTACTAAAATAATTTAATTGTATTGAATTAATTGGTTTTAAATTATGATTGGCTATAAATTGTTTAACAAACAATAATAAAATCAAAGGTGTGTCCTTGAAATATTAGTCAATTTTAATGTTTTAAATACTAAGCAAGAGATTTATAATTTAAATTTCTTAATATTAGTTAATTTCACAAAATCTTACCAGTTCGGGTTCATGCCGGGCCATTCTACTACGGAAGCTATCCACCTTATCAGGAGGTTGGTGGAACTATACAGGGATAGGAAGAGGGATTTGCATTATGGCGTTTATTGACATAGAGAAGGCATATGACAAGGTTCCTAGGGACGTCCTTTGGAGGTGTCTGGAGGTGAAAGGTGTGCTGGTGGCTTACATAGGGCGATAAAGGATATGTATGATGGAGCTATGACTCGGGTAAGGACTGTGGGAGGTGACTCAGAGCCTTTTTCGGTGGTTATGGGATTACACCAAGGATCTGTGCTCAGCCCGTTCTTATTTGCTCTGGCGATGGACGCACTGACACACCATATCCAAGGAGAGGTGCCATGGTGTATGTTGTTCGCTGATGATATAGTTCTGATTGATGAGACGCGAGGCGGAGTTAATGGGAGACTGGAGGTATGGAGGCAGACTCTGGAGTCTAAAGGTTTCAAGTTGAGTAGGACTAAGACAGAATATGTGAAATGTAAGTTCAGCAACGTGACGGGGGAAGCGGATGTGGAAGTTAGGCTTGACTCACAGGTCATCCCCAAGAGAGAAAGTTTTAAGTACTTAGGGTCAATTATCCAGGGAGATGGGGAGATCGATGGGGATGTTATGCACCGTATAGGAGTGGGGTGGATGAAATGGAGGTTAGCGTCTGGAGTCCTGTGTGACAAGAATGTGCCACCGAAACTCAAAGGTAAGTTCTATAAAGCGGTGGTTAGACCGGCCATGCTGTATGGAGCTGAGTGTTGGCCAGTTAAGAATTTACATATCCAGAAGATGAAAGTAGCAGAAATGAGGATGTTGAGATGGTTGTGTGGGCACACTAGGCTGGATAAGATTCGGAATGAAGATATTCGGGAGAGGGTGGCTGTGGCTCCCGTGGACGATAAGATGCGGGAAGCGCGACTTAGATGGTTCGGACATGTGTGGAGGAGAAGCCTAGATGCACCGGTTAGGAGGTGTGAGCGGTTGACTTTGGCAGGTACGAGAAGAGGCAGAGGGCGGCCTAGGAAGTATTTGGGCGAGGTGATCAGGCAGGACATGGCGCGACTTCAGATTTCCGAGGACATGGCTCTTGATAGGAACATGTGGAGGTCGAGCATTAGGGTGGTAGGCTAGGGGGTAGTCGAGAGTTCTTCCCTCTTTGTACCGGATAGTCTGTTAGAGTTTCGTTAGGTTTGTTAGCGGTCTTTGTGGTATTCACATTGGTGTTTTGCATAGTTTTGTGTTATTGTCCTTTCACTTATTTGTTGTGGTTATTTTCTTTCTGGTATCTTTTATTGTTACATGTCTTTTCTCTTATTTCTTTTCTGATATTATTGCCTTTCCTGTTGAGTCGAGAGTCTCCTGGAAACAG